TCAAGGGATTCCAATACCTGTCATACGAGGACAGATTGCGATCATTGGGACTATATTCCGCTCAGTATCGCGGAACTCGAGGAGACTTGATTTTGACGTATCAAATACTGAAGAACCCAAACCATCCGTGTCAATCGCTTCTCATGTTATCGAACAAGTTACACCTAAGGGGACACCGTTTCAAACTACTGATTCCAAAGTCTCGAATGGATTGCCGGCGCCAGTCTTTTGCTGTCAGAGTATGCAAAACTTGGAATGCCCTTCCATCTCATGTCGTTTGTGCACCCACTATTGAATCTTTCAAGCAGAGACTCGACAAAATCTTGGCACACCTCACATTCGTACACTAAAGGCAAACGGGATTCACTGTAGCCTACATTCTCTATCTCCTACCCGGATCCGTATGTGACTCCTTTTTTGATGTGTAACGATTTATCTGTGTAAATATTCTATGGGACAAGAGAAGCACCAGCTTGTAAGCTTTTCCCATAATAATAATTTGACTTTGACTTTGATAGATCCGAATCTGCTCGGATCGAACAAATCAAATGCGTGCAACCTGTATTCATTTTTTAGCGGAAGATTCCTCTATTGAAATAGCCGGTAAACAGTGTCTTAACTAACTAAGAAAACACCTAACCAGAAATGGGAGTAAAATAGATTGATAGGCTTTTAGAAAACTCTAGACAAATTTTAAACATATTACTAGTCAGGTGATTTTTCCTTTTTAATGAGGTAAAATATATTTACACATTAACATTTCCCATTGCTTGAATTGTTCAAAGATCCCAACTGTTAAAAACCACAGGTGGAAAACATTGATTAAATCCTCGAGAGAAACAGTTTCTCACTCTAACCTCAGATGCTTAGACCGTAATTGAATGCGAGAAAACATTTTTTCAGCATTTCACAGTTTCCCCCGAAAATCATGCTCAAAATCCTCTTGTCTGCTACACAAAGTGATGCAGAGTTAATGCATCGGTTGCCTCACCTTGGCATAAAAACGAATCTGCAAATCGGGGTACAAACATTTAACAACCCCGTCGTCCTGGTAGCCATTAACCTCATTGCAAAAACAAACTGAAAACTTCGGAGGAAGTGCTTTCACCAGCCCAATTGATTGCTTTTGCATTTGATTGGTGGAAAAAGAGAATATATGCGTAGAATGTGAAATTCGTCCACTATTATGCCTCTATAACATTCTCAAGCATGAACTACTATCTGGTTCTCCTTCTATCCGGTTTTATTGGAGGTGTGATTTGCCAAGAGGTGGACATGATTCGAGTGGGTAAGTTCCCCTGATCTTCGTCGTGCATTTGGATCAGTGTAGAAATGTGAGTTTCAGGGAGCTTTGTTTTCACTGACCCCTGGTAATTATCTGGTACGAATAATATCACACTTGTATAAATTCGGCTCAATTCATGCTGAACGGCACAGCCTTATTGTCATCAACAAATCTTGATTAGCGGCTAACCTGTGCTTATTTCTCCTTCTCCCAGTTTGAATCAAGTTGGTCGTTCTATTCAATTCACTGTTAATTAAAACCATTGTTTGCATTTTTATAGATATTGTTTAAAAAAATTCCTCTGGGGCTTATTTTGTTGGATATATTCCCATCAAACCTTGTGTTTCACTTACGCTACCAAATTTTTGAAAATAGGACCAAAAATAATGCTTCTACCCACTGAAAAATATATCTTCATTACTGTGGGATTTGCTTTGTCTTCCACTCATCATACGAATGTATGTAATGAACAAGCGGCAGTAATTGGTGGACCGGACTTGTGATTTCAAGTAGCATTCGTCGAGTCATTCAAGTACTCCCAGATGTTATGTATATTTGCTGAAATTAACTGCGCTTGAGAAACCATTTTCCACGCAATTTATGTATTCACCCTCATGTCATCCTATTATGTAAAACTGAATGGTCACTCGGTTAGCTGAGTATAATGTTAACGAAAACAGAATATATGGACTTTGCAATAGCGCAACAATTGCAGTCACCTGTAAAGGTTGCAAGAGCCAAACACAAGGAGTTCTGTCAATGAGATAACTACTGCATCAGAGCAGTTTTGATTCGGGTTTCCATGCGCTTTTAAGTAGTTATGAGGTAATTGTTTGAATGAAATTTCGCTCGAATTTCTATCCCATTTGCTATGAAATTTATCGGTTGCAAATTTCCCGTATGGAAATACACCTCTCTCGTCACGTTTTCACAAACTTTGAATCACGAATGCTAGAATCTTCAAGGTTAATTTCAAAAGTTTATTTCCTGAAGCTGCCATTGATCTGTGGGAAGATGACAGCTTTTCGGTTCAAACGTGAGCATATTAGAAGAGAAAGAGGAGGAGGTTAAGGGAAACAAATATAAAATATCATCGTATCAAATGGTACATCTAGGTGTATCATGGAGAGCCGGAGAAATTCTTCAAAGCATTTAAATCACAAAACTAAACTAAAATTGAAAAAACAACCAGTGTCAATTGTTTTGGACTATTAAGATTGCTATTGTGTCTGCATAGGTTATAATCTCCTTGACACGTTAATCCTAGACTGTTATCTGGGCTCTTTACCCATTGCGTGTCCCATTGTAGCCCTTAAGTGATTGCGACCACAATTCAGTCATCACCTTGTGAACCTTCTTTTGGTTCTGGACAGAGCAGGAAAAAAATCGTTTTATTGAACAGAGTTGCCGGTTTGTTCGCTAGAAGTGGTTTAAATGTTTTTTTTCTGCCAGTCTAACCAATAAGGTACAATGGTATTTATTTTTACCCTTCAGGTGTCATATATGATGAGTATTTTGACAAAGACCAATTTGATCTGGAAGTTGCCCTGAATAGCTATTTGCCTATCATGAGCTATGTACTTGAACAATCATTCACAAATGGGAGCTCGTACGAAAGTCCAGAATGGGTTCTTACTGTGAGAAAATTCTCCCTTGAAGAAGGTACGTCCTTAACGCTCATTTCATATGTGCTTGTGCTACATGAATCAAACTTTACGCAGTTTTATTGCTATTGTTGTTGTTCATCAGGGTGTATAGGTGTTGTGCTGAGCTTTTCGGACATAAAATCCAATCAAACGGTAATCAAGAATCGCTGGCAGTCAGTTGAGAGAACAGCCATGACTGGGATATTCCAACCAGCTTTGGTAGGTGCTCTCTTCACCACAGGCAGCCATATGAACACACATGTGGATACGCCATCAGCTGACAGTAGAGGTATCCGAAATGTACAGATAAAAGCCTTCCAGAAAACACATGATGTACCGTGGAGTACGCAGGGCGCATACAACCGTTATTATTAATTTGTAATGCACACTACGGGGCTGATTCCGGAAAGCGAAATTGGAGTTTCCGGTACCAATTACGCATTTATCAAATACCGAAAACAAATTCTGTTCAAGGAAGATGAGGGGTACCCAGGTAACTCTCGCACCCGCTACGAATCACGGAAGCTTTTAATGCACAGGAGGGTGATAGCTCAGAAAGTACTTTCTTCGTGCATGAGGGATTCAAAAGTAACCTATAAGACGGCAGAAATATAAAAAGTGTTAAACAACAACTGAAATCGGAGGAGAGAAGCCCTTGTGAAGTTTATATTGCGCATGTGTTTATTACTCAATGATTTAGGAACACATGCAAACAACATCTGTTTTTATGCACATTTGCAATTCTTCCATTATTTTTTCCTCTTTTTCAAAAAACACTCGTTACATTGAAGATTCCCATGGTAAAATTAGAGAAGAAACGCGAAATAGCGAACAAGCTCCTTTTCGATAACTTCCTCATCTGGCTAATACAGTTATATAAATAGGTAATAAGCACATCACATTTGTCTAACTTTTGATGTGTGTGCGGATCAGATTGGAAGATATAATTAGTTTTTTGTGTGTGGTTTACAAACAAAAAGAGGAATATAGCAAATGAAGCATAAACTGAAAAGCTGGGAAGCACTGGATAGCTGTTTTGACGTGGTTGCTTATCATTAGCAGTGCGAATCCATCGACCCAACTGGGTACCTCACAGGCAGAACGCAAGCATGCTACCTATTTGGCCACCAGCCAGCTGATCAGATCATTTTCCATTTGCATGATAAAGCACAACTCATCTTTGCGAGCTTGTTGCAGGCCATAGCCTATGATTATCTCAGCATTAGCCTCCAGGGTTATGATTCGGTTGGAAACTTTTACAACCTGACTACGGACTACTGGAGGCTTGTGTTGAGCTGAGCAGGCTCTGTGGCCCGTAACAAGCTTGCAAAGATGGGTTGTGCTGTACCTTGTAAATGGAAAATGATCTGATTAGCTGGCTGGTGGCCACGTGGGTAGCATGCTTGCGCTCTGCTTGTGAAATCTCGGGTTCGATCCTCAGTTGGGTCGATGGATTCGCACTGCTGATGATACCCAACCTGGTCGAAACAGCTGTCCAGTGATTCCTAGCTTTTCGGTTCACGCTTCATTTGCTATATACACGACGAATTCACCGTTGAAATTGAATCAAGTCCTCCATTACTTACTTGAAAAAGGGGAATGATGGGAAGATGGGAATAGGGACATGTCACAAGAGGGTTAGGACCAAGTCAAGTTTAATCATCATTTGTTTGGGGCACGGGGTTTTTTCTAAAGGATCAAGGGGTTATGGAACTGGCCAGCTTCAGTCATGTGATTAAATTCACTCCGTAGCCATGGCAGGTGAAGGGCTTTAACGAATCGTTTTTGGGAACAAAGCGATGGGTTAAACAGACAGATAATTACTGCCTCAGCCGGTGTTAAACGTTGTTGACAAACAGCCTCAGATGGATAAGAAGGCACTCGGTAGATCACCTTGAGAGCGTCCCGTATTTGTGAAATGTTCCACTATGACACTTATCATGGTTTTTCTATCCCCCGTATTCAATCAGGATGGTTTGTGTTCCTTGATCCTTTGGGAAAATTGCCTGATGATTCTACCTATGTAGCTTGCCGAACATGAGCAAACATGTGAGTAGGTAATCATAGAAAAGGTAGAAATAGGCAATTTATCTTTGAGTTTCATGGAAATAATCGATTGATTGGTGAACTGTAGGCTTAAACGTGCCGCGGCAAATGTACGTGTGATTGCTCTTTCCAGGCGCCGGGTGATTAGCTCACTTTTGTGACCTCCTTTGAAAGAGAGTCGCATGTTTAAGTCTTTCTTATTCATTGTTGTTATAAGAGGGCCTTTGGGTGACTCAGATAGGTTTTTCTGAATGAACCGTTCCGGCTAACCTTTCTTTACAATTTCGTGAGTGGCGTCCATCCATCTATTCAAATTCCATCGATGCCCTTTTTCATCATTACACACCGATAAATAATAAAACCACCATATAATACACTCCTAAAGTCTACATCCTCCCAACTACTTTCCTCTTTCATCGAAGTGTGTTCCCTAATCGAACTTGGTGCTCGGATGATTGCCAGTCTGACAAGTTGTTCAGTGGCCCAGTATATCGACTCGATTACAAGCAGGCATCATATTTTACACTTTGCAATCCCGCGCCCAATGTGTTTGGAACGACCGAGTGTGCCGAATGGGGACATCATGCATACCATATGGTATCAACCGGATACACAGAATTTAGCCAATGCATTGTACCAGATCAACGAGTTTGAAAATGCTGGTCGCGGTCTGATTTTGAGTAATGGACAAAGTAGTAAGTGTTCATTCATTTCGTCAGAGCGACTAGCGCTCACAAGTGTAGAATCTGCATAAATTTTAAATTTCATTGATAGAGTAATGAGAACCGGTTCTCGTAGCTCGGGTGAATTGTTTGCCGAGTATGGCAAGTTTTGGCAAACGTTTTATCACCAGCCGAGTTGACATCTTCAGTGCTTGTCAAAAGGTGGTGTTCTGCTTGTTCCAGTTCGCAAATGTGTTCTTTTCCATCCACTATTTTTGTCCCCTGTTCATGTGTTTTCATTCTGTTCTTCGTTGCATAAAAGATTAAATGTTTGTCGAACATGTTCAGTTCAACTAATTGCGTCAAAATTACATTACTACAATTTCTATTCAGTTTAAGATCAAGTCGGCCATCAATCAATGAGATTGTTGTTTCGATTATCAATTCATATTTCAGGCCATGAAGAACAACTGTTCATGTCTTCATTATTATTATTATTGTTATTATCCAGAACGAAGTACGGTAGGCACCCGTTGAATCGGCCAAATATTTGACATATGTTTAACATTTCATCAAACAATAATGTACAAATATAGCTTATCTTCACTAATGGAAAAGAAAACAACTACTGTGCGTGTTATAATAAAAATTGTTAATTTTTGTACGCTGTGATCCAAAAGACATTTCTAATGGAGCTATTTTCTTGTGAAATGGCCTGAAAGGTCTTGCATAACACAATAATCTGGGTACACAGTTGGTTTGGTTTTTTTTGGCCACAAATCGCTTATGCTGATTCATATTGAGTGATCACGTTGTGTAAGATTATTAACTAGTATGAATTTTTGTACAGCCGTCAGAAGACCTGTGTCACAACTCTTCTAGTCAGTCCAAGCATTAAAATATTATTTTAGTTCCATTCGTCTATTCAGTTTTTTCAAAGTTCTTTGCGAAATTTGGTTCAACATTTCTAAAGAATCTAAATTTCAACGAAATTCAACTAACCTCTCTGCATTGTTGACTGGTAAAGGGAGCAAAGTCATTTAACATCAGTTGGACCAAAGAGTAGCATGACTTGAACACAGATTCATATGATCTGATGAAGGCCAAAAACGTTATTTCAATCTTTTGTTCATAACTGGTCGTTTACCATCATATGCGTACCGAAAAGGCACAAAACATTGCCTTCAGCCGTGCGTCAGCTGTACTGGATCAAGTATTATCGAATCGATCCTTTTTACTTCCCACTCAGCAATCTCCTGCCAGAAGATAATTTGGTTCTATGGGCGTTGTGTGGCCTGATAAATGCGAGTAATGCCACAGTGATCCGCAGGGGGTTCGGGCTTACAAGGGGTATCCTCAGCAACAATCAACAGTTTCATTTTCGAGATCGTCCTTCTAGTCTAGGAATATTCAAGCCAAACTTGAGGGTAGAAGCGTGACATCGAAAAAGCTGGCGACCAGTTATTTGTTTCATTCATCTTTTCCACGAAACCTTTTAGATTTGCTAGTCAGTGATCATTTTGGTGGTTGTCAGCCCTCGCTTAGTCAGGATTTGTTTCAAGACTCGAGTGAAGTTGTGCAAAGTGTACATTTGTTCAACGAAACTACGCCAATTTTTAAGGACTTACCGCTAGATTGCATTTACCACGCGTCGGTCATTTGCAAATCCTATTCTCATGTTAGCACTTGGTAGTTTCGGGTGCACAAGTTATTCCGTTGCGGAGTTGTGCTTCATGTTCATGTCTTTTTTACAGGTTTACCGAAAATTCTACTAGAAATGTCCAGTGAAGCAATTTCTCTCGGACGAAAATTCAAACCAATATATGTGACGCAAGATTTTGCAACAGTAGACGACGAAAAGTCCGGATTCCCGGGAACTTCGACTGACCGAATTTCTTTGGATAGTATCCTCAACGCTTTGGCTGACACAACGGGGACGTCAAGCGGGGCGCCAAGCCTGAGTCATGTAATCGTCATGGCTCCTCGTTCCGGTGTGCTAGAGGTACTAGACAAGGTGAGCTCGAAATCCCGGTTCATGTTTGTTACTCCGCTATCGACGCCTAGTAGAATTACCGACTTTATACAGTTGTTGTTTCCCAATTTGTGTACCAGTTAGCTTATATATCAAAAGTTTAGTTGATGCCATCATTAATTGGTAGACAAACATTTTGTTGTATATATATATATATGTATAATATATATTAACTGCCAAGATATATACGATTACCCTTCATTCCTCGTCTTTTGAGTCCAATGAAGAACTTTAGCGTTTTTTTCAAGTCCTAGATAATCGAAGTTGCATTGTATCCGTATTACATAGGCACAAAATTGTAGAAATAACAAATATAATATAGTCGCTCAGATCTTNATCTTAATTCGTCTGGTTCTCCGGGTGCATCTTCAATCGCGAAGTTGTTAGAAATACTGAAGGGTCTGAACAAACCAATGATAAAATGTTGTTCTGAAAGTCACTCAATTTTGGTACGCGATTGACATAAAAACGCTGCTGATTGACAAGGTATGGTTGTTGCTTTTTAAAACGTCTTTGGGTAAATACAAACATGTCAATTACAATAATCAATTGGCTCCGCCCGTATTNTTCGAATAACTTCATCCGATATCCTAATCTCAATATTTTGCGAGGCGCGGGTTGGGCAAGGTGTGGCTTTTTTCTGTATTTCGTTCAATTTGTGGACTGGAGGGTAGTCAACGTATATTCGTGTTACTTACCGTTTCTACCTTGTAGTCAATTAGGACAGCATGCTCGTCGAAACAATTTGGGATTGGACCAGTCCAAATAATTGTTGCATTCCTTTATTGGAACTGATCTTCTTACGGCATCTTGTTTGCCTACTTTTTATGACTTTATATCCCTGCACCTCTGAGATTTTGTTTCCAGGACCAATATATTATCATCAGCTTCCAGAGATCATGATCAGGTATACAGAATCCTAAACCTAACTTTCCCACGCTATTTTACCCTTTGGATTCCTTCTCAGTTTATCTGTTAGTTCTTGCGGGAAATTAATTGTGCACTTGGCCATGCAATAAGAGTAAGTAGAAATATTCTTTGATACATCCCAAACGCGAGATCACGATGTGCTCCAACAATACGATATAACCCTTACCTGTTTTGCATCGGATTACTTGAACAGTTATGTGCCACATAAGAGGCCTTGGTGTCTTATACCGCTGATTACATATTCCATGCAATACAAAAGTCTAACGTTATACTGGATTGATTATTATCATTCGAGTGAAACAGTCACACAACAATCGCTCTCGCTTTGTTCGAACCTTCTAAACCAGTTTAGATTCTTGAGTAAATAATGAAAACCCTAAATATAACCTTCTTTATTGGCTCCTCCAAGTTTTCTGATTGTTGCTTCTTTCATTTAGTTGGTTTTATACTCCTCTGTGGCAAAGAAATACATGTGGATCTTCGGTGAACCGATAGATATCCCAATCAAGACAATGCTCAAACTTTTGTCCGCGCATCCAATCAAGACGATGAATGTGGCTTTTTTCCGTTATTTGCCCATACTACATCAAGAGGATTGCAATGATGATAGTATGAACAAATTACTGCGTGACACGGCTATTCACTTTGGGTCATGCGATTACAGTCCGTTACCGGTAAGTGTCACTGGACATGAGGCTGGTTGCTCGTTTGCTCAGACCAAGTAATCCTTTAGTTGAATCATATTTTCTAGTTACTCAAAACCACCGAAGACCAAATATCCCCTTCTAAGTAAGTAAACTTGGATTCGATGGCGAACTTCTTAGTGGTCAGAGTTGCTAAGGGTGAACTGTAGAACTAGGAACTATGGCGTAGCTGTTTCGACCATGGATAGATCCTTGAACAAAAAGTCACACCGGAGTGTAAACTGAGAATTCCAATTTTACTTTCCGAGATATTCACCATAAATGTGCTAAATGAATTTTTAAAAAACATTGGCTCCTAACATCAATTTTCTCATTAAGTATAATCTCAAGTGAAATGAACTTCTTGGTTAGGACGGTTTGTTCCTGCATCACGTTCTCTGCCAAGAAACTCTGAGTGATTATTGGCAGAGGGCGTTCCAACCACGAGATCAGCTAAGCGTTACCTGCTTGGACGATCAAGGAGCCAACTAGTCAGCAAATTCACCAACCGAAATGCCATCAATTGCAGGGTGCAATCTTATGCGTTGGTGATTAGTTTGTTTCATGCTACCCAAAAGAACCAGGATATGTGCATGTATTCATCTTTCAAAGTGTTAACTCACTTCAGGTGTCATACTCTGTCCATGTTCCCTCTCTGCCGTCGCTTGGACTAAAAGCAGGGTGTTAGTTGAATTTGTGTGAGAAGCCGAATATAACATCAGCTGGTGGGAGGCTACTTGCAGTGCATTTTGGGCTCCAATACATGTAAATAAGAATACCCAGATAATCTTTATTTTTAGTGTTTTATTATTTCATTATCAAAATTCGAGTATTTCGCCATATGGCCAACTGTGAGTTATTATTATTGTGTTTGTCTTCAAGTAGGATGGAAATGGGAATAATTTACTTTATGACTATCAAATATCCTTACGTTTTTGCTTCATTTTACTCAAAACATCTCATGTCGTTTAAATTAGCAAATAAACAGTTTGCATAAAAATTCCGATACTAGGACATCTATTCGGTAGAAATCGAAATTTGAAAGGTGCTAGCTGATCGAAAACTCACTGCAACAGTTTTTGAACCAATTTTCTTCATTTCGCTTCGGGTATTTCAATAATCTCCCCATCTTTTCTCTCATCCAAAACAAACATTGATTTTGTGCTAAAGGAGCGGGTTGCAATTCTCATCTCATTACTCAATCTCTACGTGCACGTGAGGTATTACACTATGACGTATTACCAACCTCACACGATGAACATTACGTGTTCGGCAACACCCATCCAAACCGATGAAGCTGGGATGAGAGCGTTAAATCTGAGCAAAGAAGTAAGTTTGCCTATTGTCCATTTCATTCGCTAAAACTGAAGCGTTTAAGCTACCGATATGAATATATAGTAATATTTTCACAACGGTCTATACCACGAAAACTACTATGGTTTGACTAACAGTTGGCAAAGTTCAGTTTCAGCAAGTTTTGAATAGCATGTAGTTTCATAATCTACGGATATATATCTACCTTGAGGCTGAGTCTTAAACAGGTAAAAGCAAATCCTGAAAGAGCTTCAGAGTGCTAGTAGGACAGTTAAAAACGACGTTTACATTTTAAGAACACACTGGATTCTGTTTCAGCAACCCGGAGGTTGTGAGCTGAAATCCTCGCACTACTGCTCGGGATTTCTCGTTTCTATTTTCCCTAGCAAGTATTTGATTGACCTCAGGCATTAAATAAACAAAAGGAAGTAAAAAACATGATTATCATTATTATTTTTAACTAGTGTACAGTGGTTTGATAAGTTTGAAGTATTATGGGATTATATAAGAACATATGAAATGCGATCGATTAGGGCGGTGACCCTTCCTCGAAAATCCATCAAACGACCGACCTAGCAATGGTGTCTTCTCGGGTAAGCTATCTGTTGCCTTATCCGGTAAATATCTCTTCATCAGAAGCGCTCTGTAAAGTCAGTTGCACTTTATGGAACAAAAACATTTTTGGGCATTTTAATGATCTCGCATTTTTTCAAATTATATCTACGTTTATTTTGTTTTTGCAACAAAGCTCGGCATTCTTCACCGGTGGTCTGCATTAGCATTTTACGCTTTGGAAACGGACACTCAAAACACAACACGATTTGTGAACACTGCGCATTATGCAGACGGTCAAATCTCACTGACCACCGACGGTGCAATTGTTGCAGAACAAGCACTGGTTTCCGGTTTATTTCCGAATCGTTTCCGTAATTTCACCAATAACATGCTCACCGTTGGAATGGTTTTGGTAAGTTCTATTGTTCCCTTTTGTGGGTAACTGAGATCATAGATAGATGGATTTGGGGGAAAAATTAGTTTGAAAAACAGTACCTGAACCGTAGATTAAATAAGTGAGAAAAAACCGGGAATCTGTGCTCTGTGAACACCATTCCAAGCCCATAAAAACGGAGTTTAAAGTACTATTTGTGAACCTCGGCAAAAGGTCTAGCAAACGGTTTTATATCCATATTACGTCAAAATTATCCTAACCAGATTAAGGTTCAGTGATTGAGTGAAAAGCACAATACAACTCCCCAAGTTCAGGAAAGTAGAACAAAAGTTTAATCATCTACATGTATTGAATTGCATCTAAACTGATAATGTGTACACTTCATCTCAGCTTATACACGGTCCGGCTAAAAACATGGTAATATATAGCCGAATGGAACTGATCGTCAAGTCAGTCCACTCCTAACGAGCGTCAGACCACATAACGAGGAATATCGAAGGAAGTAAGGCATTTAAAGGGATAGACGAACCAATCATAATCACTCAAGTTATCTATGCGGCTTTTGTTTGCAATGTATTTATGAATACCTGTGCATGATATGCGACAGAGAAAATTGAGGTTAATCAAATGAGAATTCAAGTGGAAGTGGACAGGTCACTGTAAAACAATCTGACCTAAAGATCGATGCACTAATAGTCAATTACATAGGAGCCGGTAGAACACAGGTGAGTGATCAGACAATGTCGCGCTAATATTCACGGCGGTCACAAGCTATTTTACAGTTGAAAAATGTTTCCTCAACATAAATGGCAATAGTTTGTGTCTAGGGTCAGTGCTGAGTATGTGTGCTAGCTAGCATCACACTAAACACACCTTGATGGATCTCAACCACTTGGGTTAACCTAGGAATAACCAGTTAAAGTGAGAGAACAGCTGAGGTGACATTTTGCAATTTTTTTGGGAATAGATTTCATCATCACGCAGCGTGTGAACAAGCAGATTCGTGGGGGGGGGGACTGAATCGACAGTTGATAATTAAGTGAGATTCAACCCCCAAGACAAAGAAGACATGTTTNTATAGAAAAAATTGAATCAGATCCGCAGTCATGGATCCTGTTGCCTCCAGAATATGTCGAATAGCTATTGAGCTTTGCGGAATCGTCCCTTAGTTAATTCATTCATATGAACAGTGAGGTACTATGAGAGCTAAAATGAACGTTTTGATAAATAAATATATTGAGCACTTTGAAGTATCGTATATGTGACATATTTTTATTTTCCACGGAAATAAGAGGGTCAAAATAATACTGAAACTGTCCCCTCCATGTCAATCATTTGGCATCAAAGCAGCCGTTTTTTTCAGTTGACACGATTAACTACATGGATCAGTTAGAAGTAAGATGGTAGATTGCAACTTTACCGACAGATAGACCCAGACTTTATGTTTCATATTCACATAAATAGTATGGAAAATCGATTACACCTCGAGG